AAAAACTGGAAAATTGTTTGAAATTGTGGAATATAAAACACACGACTTTAGCTATTACTATTGGTAGGTTTGTGATAAAAGTGTATTGGTCAACAAGTTGCATTTTCGGATAATCAGGGGTGAGTCGGATCCACCTTGAGCCAAAACCCAAGCTACGCTAAGTAAATAAAAACTCTGTCCTAAAATCGGCGAGAATATTGAGGAGAGAGCCGTTGTCATTTGATCTCAAATGAAAGACTTCTAAGATTTGAATAATTCACTCAATACAAATAATATGAATAAAATAAATTTCTCTGATTATAAGCTTTGTACACGAGGTTTCTCCTTATTACTCTAAGATTCTTTGTAATTCTTTGTGGATTACGAAAGAAAAATCATTCTATGATGTTCAACAGTAATAAAGCCCAATGTTAAACTTTCAATGACGTGTCTGTCGTTCATAGAAAAGTTCACTAAGGACAAAGCATGAAGTGTCTGTGTGTGTGTGTGTGGGGGGGGTGAACAAAATTGAAATCGGCAACGAAACATACATTAAGAAATTACAAAACAAGAATTATGAGGAATGTGTGAGACCTATATCAATGTAAGAGTACAGAAGGCGCTTATTTCTCTTTTATGGAGATAAGAGGTGGATCACATGACGGTCACTTCGTGATGTCATGCCATACAGTAACCAAAGTGGAAGTCATTTTCCAGTTCGTGAACAGAAACCAAACGAGAAGGTTGCTTTCTTCTAGCCAGAGTCAAAAGACCAAGGCTGAGGTTAAATCTGCCTCCGCCTAGAAGCTTACAAGAATATGGTGCTGTTTCCTTGGCGACATAGATGAATCCGGCCCACTTCAATCTGGAGTCCTCCAAATTATATGTAAAACCTTTCTTTTTTGTTCCTCCTTATACTTTGCTTTGTTATGTAGGCATATGTGATATATACACAGTGCGATGGGTAAATTGTTGCAATTTTATATTTTTAATTTCGCACATGTGCGTTGTTCGTTTTTGATTTTGTCGATTGTACACTATAATAGGATCAGCTGGGCACCGCCTGTGAGAGAAAAAATGTGCACCATGACGCAATTCACTCCAGCAAAAATTTAGAAACGGCATGCTAAAGTGCTTGGTATTCACGCCGAAAGCTCCAATACGAACATTTCAGGGTGTTTGGGTGTCAATCTGAAGACAGTGTAAAGGATTCGGAAAGAGTTGGATGAGTTTAATGGTGATTACGAAGGTATGGCAGCTCATAAAACTCACTCTGATCGTTCTGATAGGAAAATAATTCCCGAATTTGTTAGTGAGGGTCTCACACTCAACACAGCGGCCCACGTCAAGTGTTTTGAGGAGAAAGTTATGCCTCCATTCATCTTCCCACAGGACTACAGACTCAACAATGTGGCCTACATCAAGAGGAGGTAGTGCTGCCCTGCATCAAGAGGGTAGATGCTGGAAGACCCTATGTCTGGCAACAGGATTCTGCACCATGCCACATAAACAGGAAAACCCAGTCATGACTATCAGATAATTTCTACGACCACATCATCTTACATCTGGCCACCTAACTCCTCAGACTGTAACCCCCTTGATTATTATGTGTGGGGCGCAGTTGAACGAGAGACTAACAAAACTCCTTGCAACCCCAAATATGAACTGAAAGCAAGGCTTATGGCAACATTCACCAACTTAAACAAGCAGACCACCCAGAAGAATAAATTTACACTTTAGTATTTCAAGATATTTTTGTGTAATTTTGGTAAATATATCCGTTGAAATGAGATATCAGTGTTATTTTAATTTTTGCATGTGTTAACCTGTAGTTCTCCACGTGGTTTTGTGTATGTCTTAGTTTTATAAATGTCTCTCTGAGAACAAAACGTGTTTGTCATTCTTTTTCCTTTCAGCCATTTTGTTCTTTGGGCTACGGTATTGTTGTATCGCGTATATGCTATAATGCCTATAACAAGAGAAAATGCAATAGGGAGAATAAATATTTCTTTCCCTCGCTCTCATTACAGAAGCATTTATTTAAATTGTTAACATTACGCTGACAGTGTCTTTGAATATCTCGTATAGTTTTTATTTAGTACTGCACAGTTATTGTTCATGTTTCCACTGAGTCCAAGTAGACATTTCTAGACCCAGGGATTGAACTCACAATTGAATGGAGAAATTGGAGTCTTAAACCAAACCTGCCTGTTGATGAGTGATACTGTAACTACTTGTCACGCTTGGCTGCCCCCGCCGATTTTTTTTTTTTTTTTTGCTGCATCGCTTCTGTTGAATCATTGCTGTCAGTTTTTATATCTTAACGGTTTCCATATCGTATTTATTTCTATGCTAAGCCTACTTTTTTAGAGATCTGGCATTATTTAAACAGTTAAAAAAGATTCTAGCCTGAATAATTATCAAATATTGAGGTATTTATTTGCCATTGTCAACAGAATTGGGATTATTATAGATCTATTTTTTCATTTTGTTTATTCATTTTAGTAACCCATACAGTGACTCAAAGCGGCAGTCGATTTTGAGTTCGTGAATAGCGAACAAACGACAAGGTTGCTTTCTTCTAACCAGGTTGAGGCTAATTCTACCTCCCCAGCTTAAAACGCATGATGCAGTTTCCCTTTGGGACATTGATGAATCCGGCCCGTTTAAACCTGGAGTCTTCTCAAGGTCAGGAATATCTTTAAATTATATGTAAAACCTTTCCTTTTTGATCCTCCTTATACTTTACTTTGCTGTGTAGATATATGTGACATAATTCTCCACGTGGGTCATGTATATTTATAGTTTTATGTATGTCTTGGTTTTATAAAAGTCTCTCTGAGAACAAAGCGTGTTTGTCATTCTTTTTCCTTTCAGCCATTCCGTTCCGTCAAGTCCGTGAGCTACGATGTTGTTATATCACGGATATAACAATATCCATAACGGGAGAAATGTAACTCGGGGAGAATAAATCTTTCTTCCAAGCACTCTCGTTACATCGACATATACAACAACGAAATGCATTATCGTTAAAAACGGAATAAGAAAATGAGGAATACATTTTTCTTTGAGAAAATATTTGTCATCTAAGCGAGAAAATGCAGAAAAAACTTTCTCCCCCAACTGTGTGTGTGTTGAAACCGACTAGCTTGAGTTTTTTTTGGGGGGGAGGGGGCTTTTATTTACTGTGGCAATAGATTGACATCTGGGCCACTTTTTAGTCTTTGAGCCAACATCAAAACACAAGCAACTATGTATTACAGCCGCTACTGAATTCTGCAAGATCCCGAAAAGGCCACGTTTGAATGAAAGTAACTCATGTACAAATTTCCCGGCGCTGTCTATTAATGAAAAAGTCCGACGCAATTCGTTTGTTTTTCCCTCGTCTACAGTTAATTCTTGTCCCCTCCCTTCATTTATTTTCTGTCAGCCAATCATTGACACTTTAATCAATAGACAACAGTTTTATTCCTTTTATTAATCTCGGAACGACAATGTGGAACGACATCATGAACAAACGGTAACTTTATTGCCAATTCCGGTCTTCTCCAATCAGTAAACAACGCACTTGTCCAGTCATGTGACTCTTCTAAAAGGTCAGTCAGTTTTTACAGACGAACAAGGTTTTCGTGAACATCAGAGATAAAAGATGGCGAGTATTGTGAACTTTTTGCAATATCCACTAGTTTTTCCTTTTCATAGTCGGGGAGATGGCGTGTAACACATTTGATACTTTTTTGAGCAAATTCTCTTTTTAGAAAAATAAAAACTTAATTTATGTTGTTCTAATTTCTCAAATGCTTGAGTAGTTATCTGTTTCAATGGGGGTTAGATATTGACAAAGCCAAACAACATTCATTTTGTGACCCAACATCAATAATAAATAGACAGTAGTAAAATGCTGAAAAAGTGCGGGAAAATGAACGAAAAAACAAAAAACATTCCGCTCTTTGTAATTTAACTTACCAATGCTTTGAACGTAATGGTAATGGTAATATTAGTCGTTTCCTTATGTGAAAACATTCAGCATTCCTTGGCCGAGCATTTAGACTTTCTCTCACTTGAAATCAGTATAAAATTTTCCTCTTAAAATAATTCTTCAGGAAAATACGTTTCGCAAGTCCAGTCGCTGTTCATGCTCATTCAAGTATTGATGGGACGCTTCTTGTCATGGCTTTTGTTTACCAACATCTTGACTATATGTCATTATTCTGTCTTTGCAAACCCATTTTAGCTGTTGCTACTGCTGAAAGTCGTCAAGTGATGTGGTTTATGTTATCTTGTACAGTTCTTGTTTGTGACACTGTAACGTCAGTCGATGAAACCATATTACAAATTGTGATATAAACTTGAAATTTGGTAAGAGTGTTCCTTGCAGGTCTGTTTTCAGATAAAAGTTCTGGCATTGTGAAAACTCAACATGGCGGCCATTTTTTCAAGATGGCAGCCAGTGCCTCATAGTGGCAGTTCACCGAGGAGGCAGAATAGGGCAGTTAATTGATAAGGTCGAGTAGGGGCAGTTCATCCAGGAGACAACATTCAAACTGGTGACACACATTGCTGTGGAACTCCGAATGGGGTTCAATGTCATCTAAACATGGAGTTTAGTATCCCAAATCTAGTAAGCCCCTAATATATTAGATAGACGTACCTGAATGGACAGGTTGTGCCAACGCGGGAGAGCCGAGCCAAGGATAACAGAGGCTTTTGAAGTTATCTGGATGGTGTACAGATCGCACGGGATTCAAATGGCATTGGATGAACGATCGGGCTAGGTGTAGGGCAGTTGCGTGAACCTAGTTGTATCTCATACATCAAAGTGAGCGAACGGTGGCCGTTCCGGTCAAATGATAGATAAAGATTCCACATCGAAAACTGATTGGAGCAAATGCTGCCTTTGTCAGCAGGAAAAAAGCAAAGAAACCCTCATTTCACCTCCTAGTTCATTCCAGAGGAAGCAAGATTATGCTGGATACAGTAATATTGCAAGAAATGTACCATTGTTTTATGCCATCAATGATATGCCGATAGCACTTGACCCTTCAAGGCTTGATGAAGGTGAAGGTATAGAAACCACTCTGGTTCGAAATGGAGCTAAATATCATCAGAGTTGCCGATTGTTGTTCAACAACACCAAGTTAGAAAGAGCACAGCAAAGAAGAGCGGTCCCGAGCACCTCCGGAGCAACAGATGAACCTCGAAGCAAGAGACGAAAATCTGCAGACATTCCGAAAGTGGAATGTTTCTTCTGTGAAGATGTTATTTCGAATCTGCAAGAGGGGATATCAGAGAGACTAAATGAACACCTCAATCAATGTTCCAGAACCCTGAACGATGGAAAGCTCTTTGCAAAGTTAAGTGGCGGAGACGTTGTTGCCCTGGAGGTTAAGTACCACCTTCGATGCCTCCAAAAGTTGTACAATGCTGAAAGAGCGTACCTCAATTCCCTAGAGAAAGCAGAGAAAAGTGATCCAGGGAAAGATTTATACCCAGTGGCCTTTTTAGAACTAGTTATCTACATCATGGATAGCAAAGTCACCAACACGGAAGCAACACCGGTTTTATTTCGGCTTGCTGGCCTAGCCTCAGTCTACAAGCCTTGCTTGGAACACGTTGGGGTTGATTGTCTGAATGTCCACTCCACCAGGTTGAAGGAACAGCTACTTGCTCGGATTCCAGAACTTGAATCCCATAAGAAGGGATGTGATGCACTCCTTGCCTTCAAAGCGGACATAGGACCAGTGCTCCATGAAGCTAGCCAGTATAGCAATGCTCTCCATCTATCTAAGGCAGCAGATATCCTGAGAAAAGAAATGCTCCAGCACAAGATAAAATTCAGCAGCGAGCTCAAAGATGGCTTTGGTGAGGAGGCTATCCCACCTGCACTTCTTCAGTTCGTGTGCAGCATTGAACATGGTGTTGATATAAAATCAAATCTGACGCACGGAATAGCGAAGTCAGACTTAGCTATTGCTCAGCTTTTACAGTTCAACTCCTACTCAAAACGTAGAGAAGGATTGACAATCTAAATACATTCTAAAGACCGTGAGACCCCTTTTGCTGTCTATGTTGCGTTGAAGGTGTACACCAAGACACGAAAAAGAGAGTTGATTGACAAATTCCATGAGCATGGACTAAGCATATCGTATTACAGGGTATTAGAGATACCCGGCAAACTTGGTGAAACTGTGATAAAACAGTATGTCGAAGAAGATGTTATGTGCCCACCAGTGCTGCGAAAAGGGCTGTTCACTACGGCCGCTGTCGACAACATTGATCACAATCCCATGGCCACCACAGCTAGCACGTCATTCCATGGTACAAGTATTTCCATGTTCCATGAGCCAAGTAAGAAAAACAGAGGAGAACAGCGGGTTTCACCGGAAATAACAGACAGTAGGACAAGAAAGGTTCCTGAGCTTCCAGAGCATTATACAAACATCGCGCCAGCCTACTTCAAGAAGATCCCAACCCCAGCCACAGTAGATGAAGTATCACTGCCTGACCCCAGTCTCTTCCAAAGGAACATAAGAGTCGAATACGAATGGTTGGAAAACGTTCAAGGTAGCACCGATGTAGATGATGAATCCAATATAACATGGTCAGCTCATCATGGGAGCCAGAAACGGACTAGCGAATGTGAAACCAGCATCACTTTCTTGCTACCTCTTCTCCGAGATCAAGCTCGCACGAATTAATCCCGCCAACACAAGGGGCGCTAAAGGAACATGCCAAACGTGCTGCCTTCCAAGCAGGACATATCTGGAGACGATGGTTCAGCAAAAATATATTCTAGAGCCGACAGTAACCAAAAAGTAAAATTACATCCTGTTGAATGATCTAACACTTTGCCACTTCCTTTGACAGCATACGTATCACTTCTCCATAATTCCGGCTTCAAATTTCAGTTTTAAAAATATTAACATTTATCATTATTTTCTTGTATTCTTTTTTACAATTTTTTATCATTTTAAATTTGAAAACGTTCACTAGCATTTTATATTATGGAATTTGAACTAAAATTGGTTGTTATAAATCTTTAATGCCAAATATTTTATGAACTGTAGTGACGAATGAGAAAACCAAATCTTACCTCGAAAAAAGATAGACGTCAAAATATGGTCTTCGTTTGTGCTTCCTTACCACTATCAAACAATCACAACATATCTTACGCGCAAAAAGAACGCTACTTTCGAAGAAGGGCGGATTTCTTGGTAGTTCGTAGATAAAGACGCAAGTTGTTATTGATAGTTCGTGGATAAAAAGGCAAGTTGTTCATGGTACTTCATGGATAAAAACGCAGGTTGTTCATGTTACTTCGTGGATAAAGACGCAAGTTGTTCTTGGTACTTCATGGATAAAGACGCAAATTGTTCTTGGTACTTCATGGATAAAGACGCAGGTTGTTCTTGGTACTTCGTTGATAAAGACGCAAGTTGTTATTTCGTTGATAAAGACGCAAATTGTTCTTGGTACTTCATGGATAAAGACGCAAATTGTTCTTGGTACTTCGTTGATAAAGACCCAAGTTTTTCATGTTTGCTCGTGAATAAAGACGCTAGTTCTTGGTACTTCGTTGATAAAGACGCAAGTTGGTATTTCGTTGATAAAGACGCAACCTGTTCTTGGTACTTCCTGGATGAAAACGCAAGTTGTTCTTGGTACTTCGTGCATAAAGACGCAAGTTGTTCATGTTACTTTGAGGATAAAGACGCAAGTTGTTCTTGTTACAGCGTGGATAAAGGCGCAATTTGTTCTTGGTACTTCGTTGATAAAAACGCAAGTTGTACTGGGTACTTCGTTGATAAAGACGCAGGTTGTTCTTGGTACTTCATGTGTGAAGACACCCGTTGTTATCTTTGGCTGCAAGGGAATGAATAGACCTTTAGTGAGGAAGAGAGAAATTGGAGTTGAAAGACAAGATCAAAGGTGTCCACTGTTGCTTTGGTGAAAAAGACAAACTCCGAAGTTGACTCGTGTCTCTTTGCTGCTGTCACTCCTTCTGTCTGTTGAATGAATGTTTGGTTTTTAGAGTTTTGTGTAGACCCCATCATCCTGTGTTTATTTACAGACGAGAGTTGATTTATTGGATATTTATTTTTATTAAATTGAAAATTTTCTACTGTTTCAATGTGTTAATTGTTGTGTTAAGCGCGCGAATTGTCTGATTATGTCTACAATATTTAATACAATTGTACTCATCCCGGTAGTAGAAAGGGATGTGCAAATTCCCGGTATTTTCAGTTTAGTTTCCTCATCAATTAAAGTCTAACTGGTCATATTAACATAGAGTTTAAACTTGATAAAAATAGCTGTACCGATGATGGGTTTTTTCCCTGTCTGCTATTATGAAAGTCGATTTGAATTTTCTCTGAAGCCCTAGATTTAGTGTGAGGATCCTTTCACCATATATCGAAATAATTGATCCATTTTCATCTTGTAGTATTTGTGTGGAGGTAGTGCTTGTTCGTTTAAGTGTCGGTGTAACTGATATGACACTAACCTGCGAGCCTGTGTCTATCAGGAAGTTCATCTTAGTGGAGTTGTCTTTGATGCAGAATAGGCAACCTTTTTTTGATATTGTTTGTCTCGTCAATGCGGTTGCATTTATTGAGCAGTTTTCCTAAAACGCGCATGGCTTATTGCATTTCTGCGCGTTGTTGCCGAATTTCTTATGGTGCCAATACTATGTCGTCTCGTTGCTCTGTGTCTTTACCTTGAATGGGATTCTATTGTTGCATCATCTCCATTTGTTTAGTTAATTCTGCTACAGATTTCTTGAGTTATGTTAATACCATGTTTTCTGAGACCTATTGTAGTAATGTGTTGTTTTCCGTGTTACGAATTCTGTCAGCGACATAAGCTAAACCTCTCAACCTCTTCTGACATAGGCGCTAAAATTTGCGTGGTCGTTGTAGGTAATTTATCTAGCCACATCCTTTTTAGAATAGAATCGGCCATGGTATTGTCTCCAAGTAGCGACCTCATGTGGAGTAAATGAGAGTGTGTTCTGTCACAATGTTCTACGTTGTTAAATAAATCGCGTAGCATGCTTTGTTTAAATTTTGCCACCCGTTTAATTATTGCTTGGCGTAAAATCTCATATAGACAGTCTTCGGGAATAGTTTCAAATAAGTCCGTCACTTCTACGGCAACTTCAGTGGGTAGTTTTTCAACAACGTAACACTATCGTGGACGCTGAGACGTAATTTTCCTTGCGCTGAAAATTGCTTGTAGTTTCAAGAGCCATATATTTATATTAGCGGAGTTGAATTTTGGAAGGTTCATCGTTAACGTGGTATGCATGGGTTGCGTGGTTGCAATCTCCTCCATTATGCGATAAGTCATTTGAATTCGTGGCCTGCAAATATGGCTAGACAGCTCTTGTTAGAAGCAGAAAAATGCTGTTGGTGTCCGCGTTCACAAATTCTTGTCACCATTTGTTGGGGAAAGATCCCTTGAGTCACCGTTTGAATAAAGGTATGTGAGAAAAAAATATTACGTGTTCAAATAAAATGATATTTATTTTAACACAGGATACACAAATTTTAACTGTAATTGTAATTTTTTTCTCTTTGACTCTAAGGATATGAACCTGAATAATCTTTTAGTGAAGAAGAGAGAAAGTGAAGTTAAGAAACAAGATCAAACGAAGTCCGTTGTTGTTTTGGTGGGAAAAAAGAAGACATGGCTTTTTACTGACTCTAAGTCCTTCTGTCGAGTTGAAAGAATGTTTAGTTTTTATAAAATCCTGTGTAGATTCTAGAATGCTGTGTTTATTGGCAGAAGCAGATTTTGTTCGCTATTTATTTTTATTAAATAGAAAATTTGAATTATGTTTGAAACCTGGAACGCTGCTCGGAGCCTATGCGCAGTGTGTTTACTTTTGTCATTTGCTCCTTTGATTTGTTGTTCACTTCCGCCTACTCTACACTCTGATAAGTTCCTAAAATATTTATATATATATTTATTTATTTTTTTATTTCTTATACCGTACATCCAATCAAGATAATCAGAATAAACGCAAACAGATAAGCCAAGACGATTGCATGTACACTGAAAAGTTTTCAGTCGGACTAAGAATGGATTTTTTAAAAAATTCTGATGTTTGGTCATTTGTTTGGGAAGTGGGCTGGGTAGAGAACTTTGCAGCATCCTCATGCGGGCGGGCACACAAATTCAGATTTAGAATGACGGAAATCCACGACGGAGACAAAAGAATAAGCACAGCCAATCCTTTTATGCGCTATTTCCTCCAGTCAAGCGATTCGCTGGGAAACGAATTCTCTAAACACAAAAGTAACACAACGATTATGAGAAGAAAATAGTCGTTAGAGCCGATAACCTTATCCCAAAGCACAATGAAAACATTGAAAAGCGCCCTTGACCGCAAGGACAATGATATGCGGGGAGATGAACAGCAAAGAGGACAGGATTTTCTGTCTTTGTCATTCGTATGGAATACAGAGTCGTAGGAAGTTGTTTCCTTCGTTGGTTCATTCACTAATACCATTTATATATTTATCTATTTGCTTTGCTTTTAAGTAGATTGACACTTGAGAAATGTTCCATTCGAAAGACGAACTGAGTTATTTTAGTAACGTATTTATGGTTTTCTTTTCTTTTTTTAGTATAGAAATTTAATTTAAATAATTTCCCATTGATTAAATTATAAATTATTGGCCAATGATTAGTTTTGTTTTTGTGTAATCGGTAAAATCTAGCGAATTAAACTGGATTTATGATGACTGGGAGATCAGTGGCCTCCTACTGAGATTTTTCTTAAATAACATTTTGATGTCTGTTAATGATTGGAAATAAACAAATCAATAGCGATTAAATTCATCGCAAGAATGAAATTCAATTCATAGATTATATCCTTTTTAAATGAATCACTAAATATGTAAAAGTGATACAAACGATATTACTAGAAATTATAGCACCTTTATTTTTATTCCCCTCAATATATAAGATTCCCTCGATTAATGTGTTTTCGATTAGTGCGTTGAAATTTGTTTTTAGAAAATTTGTTTAGTGCATACATAATACTCGATTATTGTGGTAAAACATTCTTCAGTTTAGCCATAGTAATTGAAAATTGATTTTTATAGTTAACGATTAATTGATTTTTTTTTTAAATGTGAATATGGGTTTTGCTTTTTTGCTTATATTCTATTAATGCGTTTTGCATGTGTGCGTATCTGTATATATATATATATATATATATATATATATATATATATATATATGTGTGTGTGTGTGTGTGTGTGTGTGTGTGTGTGTGTGTGTTTGTGCGTGCCTGTGTATGTATTCACGGTCACGCATGAAAAACAATTCTTTGCCATTCTTACTGAAAATGACAATTCATTTAAAATTAATACTTTTCGGAAAATACTTAAATTTTGCCGACTTCAGGTCCGTTTAACTGGGACAAAAGACGGCTTGTTAATTTTAACGCCTTCAAAACTAGACATCGTTCCATTAATCCTCTGAGAGACCCCTCTCTGCCTTCCATCAGTATGGCTGATGCTAACATCCAAGAAAGTGATTCGTTGCGGTCTTCTCAGGTTAACGTTCTCGGCTGACATGAATTGGAAAGAAAGACTATATTGAATCCATTGCTAGATCAGCTGCTAAGAAAGACAGTCCATTGCGTCGTGCGAGACAATTTTTCTCTTCACAATCAATCTTATATATC